CCATGCAAAATATTTTTAAAGTAAAAAATAGTTTCTCAATGTTTAATTCTACTTCTGTATTTCAGTGTAAAATGCAAAGGTGTTTTAGGAGCAGTTATGGCCATAAAACATTTAATGCAGAAAACAGAATCATCTGATGCAGCTTATAATTTATTTAGTAGGCATAATGTAGTATAAATAATTGGATTATTGCAAAATCGTATAAAATCCAATCTTAAAATCTAGAAATATTTGAATTTTTTTTTATTTTACAGAGACAGTATTAAATAATGTAAAAACTTGTCCAGGATCACAATCTTTATTTTATGATCAGTTAACATGTATCATTTCACAAACTGAAGATATTAATACAGAATTTATACAAAATCTCGCAAATTACATTGAGGAAGAATTTGTTAACACAAATATGATTAATAAAGCAAGTTATAGGTATACAATATTTTACAATCTTCAATTTAATCTTCACTGCAATATTTTCATTGTATAATCTTATGTGTTATATTTAGTGGAGAACTAGTTCCTAAATTTGGATTAAATAAGGCAAAAGATGAACCACAAAATTGTGTTTTAAACTTTGAAAACAAAAAGCTTGGAGCAATTGTGCCAATTTCATTTAAACTTCTTAGAAATTGTTGTCTAAAGCTTAGTGAACATGGAGATTTGAATGCTATAGATTCTCTCTTGGGATGTGCAATATTAATGCCAGACAGTTTTGAAGTAGCAGATAATTCAGTAATGGATTTAGTGATATGTTGCATTAACTGGTAAGTTAACATAAAAAAGTAAACAGGAATGCAACATTAATTTTAAATAAATAGATTATGAAAATTAATTTTAGGTTCCGAGAAGTAATTAATGGTTTTGTTACACAGAAAGATCCTTTATTACAAAAGCAAGTATTACAGCGATTAGATAATCTAATATACCTACAAAATAAATTGAGCATATTATTTTCTTTATGTGATATAAAATATCAACCAGTCCCATGTTACTTTCATCATTTTCCCCAGCCATCATTTACGAGAATTGAAAAAAAAAGTGGCAAAAAAGGGAAAAAAGGAAAAAAGAAATCTAAAGAAAAATCTATTAGTTTTAATGAAAGTGAAGACTTGGAATTAGGTTCCTTAATATGTTCTAAAAATCCAACTTATTTTAGGAAATTGGATGCAATGGTTTGTGTATATTCATTTTATCATTTCATTTTGATTTATTTAAAAATAACGTTTAACATTTAATTTTATAATTAAAACAACTTTTTTTTATAGATAGTACATTTGTTAGATGTACAAATGCAAGTAGATGCATCACAATCTACAAACCACAGTATATCTGTAAAACAAGTATGTTTCATCATTCAAGAACTCTTAGGAATCCTTGAGCATGACACTAACGAAAAATTTATAAAAGATTTAATTGAATTATTACCTAAAATTTGTTCAAAACTGCGTGATGTTGTGGATTCTTTGAGAGAAGAGAGTGACAATAAAAATAAAGAAGA